AACTACTTTGCCTCCTATCCCAGAAGAATAAGGCTCCACTCCTACAAGGCTGATCTAAAGTCTCCTGTTTCTAATAACACCCTGCTCATCAATCTCCTATGTATCCCACAATAGCTCACATAAAACTTGTAATCCAATCGATTAGCTGTTGTTACAGGAATGCCAGCCTGAAGCCATGGATCTAGAGATACAAAGACCACCAAACGTTTGTGCCTGCTGAGGAAAGGTAACCAGAAAATTCCATGCAGTCTAGATATGATTTAATGTGTCTAAAATTTATGTTTTCCAAAACTCAAAGGGTTCTTGTAAGTTCCAGGGAGCTGAATTGGATCCAAACAAACAGGTCAGATTGACTCCACATAAATATTATTCAACCTTTCCCTGGTCCCGGATTCCCTTACCTGATCTCGGGACCCCTTGGAAACCCCTCCCTCATCTTACAGTAATCTTCCCCACAAGAACCAGGACCGAAGAAAAATTAAAAAACAAACAAACAAAAAAGAAAACCTAACGTTGTCCTCTACTAACATCTTGCCAGGTCTAAAGAGTTGCCAGAGTTCCAAGCAGCCTGGACTGCGATGAAACAATCAGCTCCGCTAGGATGCAGCAACACCCCAGCTTTCTCAGTCCCCGACCCCAAGATGGTCAACGCCCCCAGGTCAGCAGGAAGCAGTTTTGAGAACTCTAAGTCCTCACTTCCTAACCTGCCTCACCCAACTCCCCACCTTTAATAGTAACAAGAGTCAGATTGTTAGGACCCTACACCAGGCTGCCCCCCCCCCTTGAGAACAGGGGAGACACGAGCAGTGACGCAGTGACGCAGTGACGTAGTGACGCAGTGACGTGCCACCAATAGACACCTGCTTGAGGACTCTGCGCAGGCATGCATGAAACCTCACCTGTTCCTTCCTTCCGCCTTGGGGAAGCTGCCGATCCACCCTCATCTGACCCTCCCCCTTGGCATTCATTAAAGCTCCACATGGGTTTGTTGATTCTTAGTTCGTGTTTCACCACCGATGGCTGCAGCAGAAACAACACAGGTGGTGTAAACCCCTCGTGAGAATGTTAACCGCAGAGTCGGATTCTCTAGACTTCTTGACAGGTAACCGTATGTATTTAATAAATCGTTAAGTAAGTTAAAGGGAGAGGGGAATCTCATCAGGGAGTAGACTCTTCTGCTTGTCAGCCTGCCGCGGGAGTTTCTGGAGTTCGGTAGACGCTGGGGGTGGGGTTGGGAGCTCTGCGCTGGGTAGGAACCCCCGGTGCAATTCTGTATTATTTATTACCGAGGATGTTATTTAAACATGTTTGGAGAAGAGCAACCAACAGCGGACTTGTTATGCACGCTTCTCAGGAGTCGGGAATTTGAACTCAGCTAGCTTTCCCGCCAGAGTGAGGCAATGAGGAGGAGGTAGCCAGAGAGGCTGGGATTTTCTGTCCCTTCACTCCCTGTATTTAAAGGAACTGTAGCCATGTGTTACAAGTGTTAGAGTTGAACAAACTGCCCATCAGATTACATTTCCCCGTAGTCTTACAGTCTACGGTGTAGACACCGGGCCCTGCCAGTTGCAGGGAAAGATAAACAGCCCTTTTGAGTTTGTAAAGCCAAGTAGGTGCTGGATGGTTGCTGGAGGACCTTGGACATGCTCAGACACATCACTGCCATCCAGTGCACACCTCAAGTGCCCCTTCTCCATCCCCCAACCTTCCTTTCCTGACCCCCCAACCCCATCACCCACCCCTGCCGTGGGCCTTTTCACCCATACTTCCTGGCTGTCAGAAGTTCTCCCCTTCCTTAGGGCACTGAGATACTCCTTGAATGATTCTATGGCATCAGGGAACAATCTCAGTCCCTCTGTATCCCAGGTTCTTCAGGAGTGTAGGGATTTGAGATTGATCCCACCAGCAAATCTGTGTACAGTTTTAGTTTATGGTCAATGATTGGAAAAGGACACTGGAGATTTGTTGGGACCCCTTGGGGGTCTGCTGCTCATCTTGAGACTAAGGGTGACCCACTGTGCCCTGGGGGTCTGCTAACTGTCTCTTGACTGGTCATTTTCTTCCTTGTTCCCTCCTTCTGACTAGGCCTGTATGCAAGAATGCAAACTATCCACCCATTGCAGGGGGGTGAGGTTGGGGCATGAACATTGATCTGAATATTTTTCCACTGTGGCTGTTATGGTATATACGTCTACTCTCCTTTGAAGTAAAGGGCATTCTCCTTGTAAGGATGACCTCCTGTCTTGTTTCAATCTTCAGATTCCCTTGCCCAAACCTGAGAGAAGCATTGTAACTCGGGCCTTACAGAGATTTCTATTTTAAAACTGTATCCTCTCATTTTGAAAAAATGTTTATGTTTCATTCTTTTTGAATCTCTTTCCATTTTGTTTTTAAAATTTTATTTAATGTGTGTGGGTGTTTTGCCTACATGTCTGTGTGTCACATGCATGCCCGGTGCCCACAGAGAACAAAAGAAGGTGCTGATTGCAGGCTACCAGGTGAGTCCTCTCTCTGCAAGGGCAGCAACACTGAACCATGTCTCCATACCCACCTTAATGTTTCTGTTTAGGAATAGAATATTTCTTGAAAAACAGAGCTCACGATTATTGTAAACTCAAGGGTCGAGTGGCAATCTCAGGAGATCAAGCCAAGTTCCTCTAGGTGGACAGAACCCTGCTGTTGTGATGGGAAATACTGATCTGGGAGGTTGGGGACACACTGCAGAGGAAGTCATTCCACCAGGCCTCCCTCGAATCCCTGGGACCTGTCCTGTGCCATCCAGGGCACAGGAAAATTGTCTCCTCCACACCCACCCAGGACCCTTTAAAGACTGAGGAGCCTCCTCCCTGGGACAGAGCAGCGGGTGTCATTGGTCTCTGTCTGCTGCCCCTCAGGTGCCACCAAGTCACATATTCCTCATGATAAGACAGAGTCCTTGGTGTGCTGGGAAAAGTTTCAAAAGTAAAGATTTCTCCTTCTTCAGGCTTCTCTATGGGCTGAAAACCATAACCAAGTCCTCAGGAGTGGCCAAAGGCCTTAAAGCAACTGACTTAGGTAAAGTTGCTACATCTGTGGACCCGGGCTCTCGAACTCACTACAGTCTCTTTATCACTTAAACCTCCTCATCTGCTGTCTGAGGACCTGACTCTCTCAAACTCCCAGCAGCCTCTCTAACAGTTTCACCTCATCTGACTAATACCCAAAGGGAAAGTTCTTGAATAATACTGCTGTTTCTCAGGTAAGCCAAGTACTTCTGAGATATTAGGGGTTAGATAAATACCGTGCAGGCCGTAAGACAGCCCATGACTAAGCAATGAAAATGGTGAACTTCCAAAATGGCGGGTTCTTCATCACATGACTTCCAGATGTGACAAAATCTGGCTGCTTAAATCTAAGGCCCAGCAAGCTTTTTCTCCTGCCAGTGGAGGCCCCTACTACTAAATCAGTCTGAACTGCTCAAGGCCAGAGGCAGATTTTTGACTGACACATTAAAATTAACTCGTGTTCATTGTTTCATTATGGTCAATATTAGAAACACACAGCTATTTTTAGAAACACTGTACTTATTGTGACCTGAAGTAATCCTACTGTGCCCTTTAATACCGGATCTGACACACTTTATAGGAATATTGTCTACTTGCTTTCTAATTCCTGCTAGAGATGTTTGTGCCTGATTGTGTATTGTAACTCGGTTCCTATTAGCTAGCACATGGAACACCCCTGAATCTATCAGTGAATAAATGGGGAAACTGTGAGACATATTCCTGTTGGGGAGCTGCAGCTGGGGCGGTGCATTCCACACTCCAGTCTCACTTCTCCAATTCCAGAACCTTCTCTCTCAGAAAGCCAGACAAGCAGCAGCCCCTCCCCTCTGAAAGCCGGCCAAGAGTCAGTCACCCCTGGGACTGCTGAAGAACACAAATACAGGCCACTTAAGACCTAGTTGTCACACACTCATGCTCTCTCCCCTGCCTTCCCTAGAGCCACCTGGGAGGTGCTTTGGTCTCCTCAGATAAAACCTGGATTTATTAATTCAGCTAGATTGGCTTATTGCATTGGCCGTGGAGGATATCCAATAACAGCTGATCCAAAACTTATCAATTCCCATATATAACAGATTACTGTGCACCAATAACAGAGGATGGGATGACTTCTTTGGTGGCAATATGGGTGGACCTAGGTGACATGGTCAGAGAAATTAGTCAGGCTTTGAAAGCCTAACACTGCTCTTCAGTCAGAGAACTAGTTAAATCAGACTAGATTTGGAAGGATTTTTTTTTTTTTTTAAAGCACAATGCAGAAGTAGAAATCTCAAGAAAGCCTATTTCCCAAGATTCACTATGTATAGGGATGTGAAGCTCTGTGAGGAGGACCCGGGGAAACCAGATTGCTCACGTGCTAAGAATCTCTGGAGCTGTCAATGAACACGAGAGAGTAAAGAATGGAGGTCCAGAGTTCTGTGTGGACCCCAAACCCAAAGGCCACCGTTGAGGGCTTAAAGCCTTCCAGTCCTCCATATCCTTCTCTGTTATTAGTGGGACAGAGTGGTGTGAACCAGCAAAAGGCAAGGGTTAAACTCAGTGGAAACTTTGTAAAACGTCCAGTTTGCGTTTAGTAAAATTAATTCATTGGTATAAATTTTCATGAATTTTGAAAACATCTAATCATGTATTCTTCATCAAGATATGTAGGGACTCAACCATTAAGAACCTGTATTGCTCTTAAGAGGACTGGGTTTGGTTCCCAACACCCATATGGTGGCTCACACACCCACCCTTAACTCCAATTCCAGGGATCCAACATACTTTTCAGAACCTTCCCTAGCACTAGGCATGCATGCAGTACACATATATACATAAATGCCGACACAACAGTCATACACAAAACATAAATCAAAATCAATAGCTAATAAAGTGTATGTAGACCCCCACCCTACCCCAACTTCCCCGTTCCCGGCTGCAGACACCCTGTATCTCTGTCCCCGGGCTTTAAACACTTACTTTTTCCAGAATGCCCTAAAATGGATCCCTGAAGCAGAGACTTCACATTTGACTTCTTTCAATTGTCACAGCCTTGCATTCTGCTCGTCAGGAAAAGTGTCCATTAACAGCACCTAGATTCTAGAGACTGTATCCACAGCACCACTGAGGCAGGAACATATCTGACCCAGAAGATTGGAAGCACCTCAAATCAAATCTTATACAAAGAGGTTAAGAAGAGCTGGCAGGAAACGTGTGCAGAAGTGAGAGGAGGAAGTGAGTCGTGGCAGTTGGCTTTTTTTTTTTTTTTTAAAAAAAAAAAAAAAAAAAAAAAACCGGAGACAGTGACTTTGCTCTTGGATCTAAGACGACTTTTGCCTAAGACAAGTTCACAAACATCCCCTCCCCCTGCCCTTTTTAAAAAATTAAATGACTTTACAATACTAAGCTTTGTTCTTGGGTTTACAGTCCGGCTTGATTCTTGTTTTTAGCAGACAGACACCAGGTTACTTCAGTAGCACATACATACTGGAGCGATGCCAGCCTTTCCCTGTCTAAAAACCAAACTCTCTGTGAAATATCTGTTGACCATGAGTGTTTGATGTAATTTCTGGAGTCTTTTTTTGTTTTCCTGCTGTATTGTTCTAGTGTCTAAATTTTTTGGTAGCATCAGGCTGTCTTTATTCCTGTTCCCCTGAGTCATGGAGTAGGCAGCAGGATCTCTGAATTCAACCTGTTTTTTTTTTTTTTTCAGTATCATTTTTGACTATTCTAATTTCTTTTTAGTTTTCATAAGACTTTTCATATAATTTGGTGCTCTGTCTTTCTTTTTTGAAGGCAACCTCTCCCCAGGAAGTGAAACTCCTGCATATATAAATTAGCTTAAGAGTAGAGTGTTGTTGGCCCATGCCTTTAATCCCAGCACTAGAGAGGTAGAGGCATGCAGATTTCTGTGAGTTTCAGGCCAGCCTGGTCTACAGAGTGAGTTCCAGGACAACCTGTGACGCAATACAGAGAAACCCTGTCAGGAAAACAAAGAACCACCACCACAACAACAACAAAAAATTAGCTTAAGAATTGTTGACATATGAGCAATATTGAGTGTTCCAGTTGCTTATGTGTTTAGAACTGCCTTGAATTCTTTCCTTTTTTATTATTAAAATTGTATGCATTTGAGTTGTTTTTGCCTGCATAATTATCTGCTTTAAGTGCATTCCTAGTGCCCACAAAGGTCAGGGAAGGGCATCTGTTGTTTTTATCTAGTTGTTCTAATACCAATAAAGACTCTGGAGTCAGATATTGGGGTGAAACCTGACAGATCAAAGAGGAGGTGGAGGAAGGACCAGCTGACCTTCCCCTTTTTAGCGGCTCCCCAGCATGCATGTCTCTCTCCACATGTCCCAGACCAAAGACCATGAAATCTCTACGTCCCTCCCTCCACTTCTTGGGTTCCTCCCTATCCATCTTCCTGGGTCCTTTGTACTTTCTATGGCTAATTCTTGTCAATTAGTTGCTGGCTCTGCACCCGATCTCAGGTTAATTTTGTTAACATGGTCTTGGAGTTTCACAGTGCCAGCAAATCTCCTGCAACAGGTGTCAGATTTCCTGAAACTGGAATTATAGGTGGTTGCTTTGTAGTGCTGAAATCGAACCCAGGTCATCTTCAAGAGTAGCAAGTGCTCTTACCCACTGAGCCAACTCTCCAGCCTTGCCCAGATTTCTTCATAGTTTTAATGTAGTTTTTGTTATGCTGAGTATGAATTTTTTTTAGATTTGTATTTTATGTTTTTTTTGGTCATTACTGTAAATGGTGCTGTCTTAGACAATCATTTCCAATTGACAGAAAAATGCCACTGACTTTACCATGCTGGCAATATGTCCTACAGCTGTGTAAACCCATTTTTTTTCAAACATCCAGTAGTCTTTTGTATATTTTCAAGAATTTTGATGCAGATAGGACCACATCATCTGTGAAGAGAAACTCTTTGATCTGTTTTCAGAAGTGTAAACCCTTTTTCTTCCTTTAAGAAACTTATTTAATGTATATGGCTGTTTTGCCTGCATGCTTGTTCATTGAATAAGTGCCTGGTGCCTATAGAGGGTAATTTTTCCAGCAGTGGGAGATGGGTTCCTTGGACCTGAAGTTGGCAAGATTGTAAGCTATTTTGTGGGTGCTAGAAATTGAACCTGTGTCTTCTGGAAGACCAGCAAGTGAGCTTACCTGTTGAGCCATTCTCTAGTCTTGTGACCCTGTTTCTTTTCTCTGACTGGCCCTCCCGTGAAAAGTCACCCTGGAGTAGTGAGCAGACTTCCTGCCTCTGTTCCCGGTGGTGGCTGGGACAGCATTCATAACTGCACCCTTGGGAATGAAGAAGACTGCAGCTGAATTTACTGTTTTGTTTTTTAGTGGATAATTTTTGTAGGGGTGGGACAGTTCCTATGAAAATTATGCCAAATATTCACAAGTTTTGCTGTGTATTGATATTTCTATTTCCTTCTTTTCTTAGTTTGTTGATAGGTCTAGTTCCACTGATTTTCCCCCAAATGTTTCTGTTCCCCCTTCTCACCAGAACACTTTTTATGGAGAGCAATGCAGCTGACTGTTGTTGCCTTTCACCGTGACCCTCACTCCTTTCATTTCTGGCTCTTTCACCATTCACCCTTAGTTCAGTAACTAGAAGACCCCTGGCTGAAGTGCCGTTTCCAGCATCTCTGGTCTTCTTTCCACCTGGACATCCTGTATGGACCAGGGCCTTCTTTGAAAGGGATATTAGTGCCCTTTCAGGTACTTGTAGGCAATTGTAAAGTGGGTTTTTGTGCTAAGTTTATCTCATCTTCCTCAAGAAATTCTTGCAGCTCTTCTCCCTGCCTAAATAAATAGAAAAGAAAACATATAGAAGGGACAAACTGGACAAGCCTGCCCTGCCACAAACAATTGCCTGACAACTTCTCTGACCATCCACAGTGGGAAACTCAGGAGAAAATCTGTCCCTTCTCCAATAATTGATTCAAGAAAAACCATGTGTTCATTTTTTGTTTTAATGTATTAAAGTATTATAGTACATAATAATCAGTTTTAACATTTATAACTCTTTTTTTTCTGTTTTATTTGTTGGAGTATAGTATACTATTGTATCTTCAGTGTTTTTCTATGTTTATCTTATGTTTTATTATGTTATATTATTAATACATTTTTAATACTTTTTATGTTTTAGTTCTCTTCTTTCTCTTGATGTAAATATTACATATGTGTGTATTTATATGTATATATATATATATATATGTTTATGTGGTTTGTAATATGATTCTTTATAGAAGGCATCATTTTTGAGTGTCCAAAGTTATAGAGCAAATTAATTGAGTTATGAGTTAAAAACAAAAATTCTCTAAGTCGACACTCTCCTATTATTCTTTTACAGGTAAAAACTGTCAAGGAAAATATCTGAGAATCATCTCCGCTGAGTCTCCTGTTAAGCTTTACTGCTGCTATGGAGTGATCGCGGTCCTCTCTGGAGCTGTTATTGCACTTTCTGTTGCTTTGTTATTGTCAAGTAAGTGACTCATTCTCCACATTCTGCAGCATTCTGTCCACATTCTCATTGTTAGTAAATACTTGCTGATCACTGTGAGGCAGGCACTGTGGGAAGGACTCTAGAGAAAACACACTAGAAACTCCTGTTCTCTGGGAACTTAGGGTGTAGCAGGAAGATACAGAGGAGGAGCAGCACAGGCTGTGGTGTGCACAGGAGGCCGGGCTCAGCATCTCTGGGAAGATGGCATTCAGCAAGCCCTAGACTGATGTGCAGGAGACTTGTGTCCATCTGTGGGAATTATTCTAGGCAGAGAACAAGGAGAAAAAACCCAAGGGAGGAGCCTCAAGGAGGCGGCTGCAGCTAAAGGGAAGTGAGGACAGTAACAGGGTTGGGGAAGGTCCAGACGCCATATGGCCCCATGCTTCGTAGTTTCAGTTACTAACTGCAACTATGGTCAGAAAATATTACATAGAACATTCCAGAAATGTATCATTCCTGAGCTTTTAGGTGCAGACTGTTCTGAATAACATGATAAAATCTTGTACAGCTTTCCTGCCATAGCTGGAGTAATGATTCCTGATATCATTTTATAAAGTCAACTTTAACCACCTCGATGAATCATACACAAGTCTAAACATGGACAAACATTTGCCAAGAAGACTTAGTCAGTGTTACCTAAACTCTTACATAGCTCTGGAAAGAGACAGATAAAAAGAAGAGACAATACCCTCAGTGCCCATTGCATTTGTTCCTTTTGTTAAAGCCTCATGGTGCTGGGTATAAGAATGGGGAACAACTACAACAAATTAGCCCCCACTAAAAATAAGTGTGTGTGTGTTTGTGTGTATTTCATTTCTAGTATGTAATATTTCTTATCAAATCATTTATTTCTAGGCTCAGTGCCCCTCAAAAGAGCCACGCAAAGTTATGAAAGAAAAATGTCTGTTATTTTTCTAAGTGGTTCTCTGAAGCCTTGCTGCCTAAAGAGCTTCACACACACACACACACACACACACACACACACACACACACACACTCTCTTTCTCAAGATAGTCTCAAAAAGTGAGCACATCACACAGACACTCCAACCCTTGCCAAGGCCCAAACCCTGTGTATCTCACTGAACTTCCACACAGAGTGGCCATCCTGAAGCCATGGAGCTTTGGTTATGGTTTTAGACTTTCACTGTATTTACATTTTTGTACATTTATGAGCTACAAATTAAAAAAAAAAACAAGTAAATTTGAAAGTAGAAAAGCAATGCTATTTATAACATTTTTCACAACTCATGGAACCTTTGCTGCACCCTGACTTCCTCATCTCCTCTCATCACTCTTCCTCCTTCTCCTTTCTATGTCTTAAAAGCCACGCCCACACTCAGAGCTCCTCATTCTGTACTTTCTAGGCTGGGATAAGCATGTAAGGGAGTACATAATATTATACTTTCCAGGTCCCCACTCTCCTGCAAGCTTCATTTTTCTTATATCTGAGGAACATCCTGTGTTACACATGTACCCCCTTTTCATCATCTGTTCGTCTGTTCATGGGCCTCTAGGTCAGGATTTTCTTACTCTTGTAAATGGGGCAGCAGTCCACATGGATGTGCAGGTATCTTGTGTTATGATGCACTCTTCTCTCATATATGCTCAGCAGTGGCATAGCGGGGTCACAAAAGGTCTATTTTTAAATATAAAAAAGGCTCCATACTAGATATATCAGTTTATACTCCCACCAGAAATAAATAAGTGTCCCTATTTCTGCACAGAGTTCTGACATCTGTTGTGAGATTTCTTGATAATCGCCATTCTGACAGCCCCTAACAAGAGTCAGTATGTTTTCATATGGTTTTAATGTATATATGGTATAATAACAGGAACGTCTGGATCAAGTTTTGGTATCAAAAACCTATTTGACCGTGTCATGTGTTGTGTGCTGGTATTCATCCACAGTGAAATTCAGAGAAGTAAGGAGTTTTCTTTATTTTGTAATTTCAGGAGCAGGAAAGCCAGAAGAGGTCTCAAACAAAAATATCTATTATGATTGTCCTAGAGATTGGATTGGAGTTGGAAGTAAACGTTTTTATTTTTCTGAAAAAGTGGAAAACTGGACATCCAGCCAGACCTTTTGCGTGGCACAAGGAGCCCAGCTAGCTAGATTTGACAGCCCGGAGGAGCTGGTAAGAAAGGATCAGGAATTGGTTTGTTGTTTTGTCTGTTGAATATTTACTGCCTTGAGGTAGGGAGGCTAAATATGAAGCATGAGGAAAGATGCCACCCTAGGCTTTCAGGGAGAGTCATGGGGTGTGTGTTAGTTTGTGCTACTTGTGTTGGCAACAGCCCTGAGACATTCCAAAGACATACTCTCCTGCAATGCTAATAGGCAAACTGCATGGCCACATAGACATGACTGAGAAAAATGGCTGTCACGTTAAGCCTTTTTCTGAGCTGACAGGTGTTGCATACCTAAGGTGACAGCTGCTAATAACTACAAGTAGAGGCTTAGCCAGGGACTTTCTCAGCCGCAGAAGGATTGGTGGTTGTCAGGGTGCCATGCATCCACTAAGAACTGAAGATGATTTAGGCTCCAAAGTCAATGACCTTCAGTGCAAACCTGCTGCCATCCTGAGAGGAGGCTGTAGGGCAGAGAGACTCAAGTCTTATCTGAAGCTGAGACACATGCATTCGCCGTCTGTGTTCTATGACAGGAATTTCTGAAGAGATACAAGGGGGAGCATGACCACTGGATCGGCCTCCACAGAAAGTCCTCAGAACACCATTGGATGTGGACAGACGGCACTGAATATAACAACTTGTATGTTCAGAACACTTTTCCTTCTACTGTGATCACTATTGGGATGTGTGAGGGTTGTGGCTGTGAGAGAAGACAGGCGGTGTCATGGGAGGTGACCTGACTGGGGAGATAGCATTGCAGGAGTGAATAAATGGCAGACTGCAGAAATTCTGTTTGTTTTGTTATAGGACTTCCCCCCGAGGAGGAGGAGAGTGTGCCTACCTGAGTGACAGTAAGGTCAGCAGTGGCAGGAACTATACTCACAGGAGGTGGATATGTAGCAAGCCCAACAGTTTCACAGCTTGTGATGTGCCAAAGCAGTCGTGAGAGGTCTGTAACATGTTATCTCCAACCACAACCTCATTTCTTTAATCTTATGAAATTATCAAAATCCTTTTATTCTAGAGCTTTCAGTTGCACTGTTAATTCTCTAGTGTGACTATTCTCCAGTTTCTTCATATGTGCATTTAGTGCTATGAACTTTCCTCTTAGCACTGCTTTCAGAGTGTCCCATAGGTTTGGGTATGTTGTGTCTTCATTCTCATTGAATTCTAGGAAGTCTTTCATTTCTTTTTTTATTTCTTCCTTGACTCAGGAATGGTACAATTGCACATTACTCAATTTCCATGAGTTTGTAGGGTTTCTGCAATTTGTGTTGTTGTTGAATTCTAACTTTCAAGCTTGGTGGTCTGGTAAGATACAGGGATTATTCCAACTTTTTTGTATGTGTGTAAGTTTGCTATGTTGCCAAGTATATGGTCAATTTTAGAGAAGGTTCCATGTGGCCCTGGGAAGAAGGTATATTCTTTTGTGTTCAGATCGGATGTTCTATAGATGTCTGTTAAACCCAATTGGGTCATAACATCCGTCATTTGCTTTGTGTCTTTGTTAAGTTTCTGTCTGGTGGTCCTATTTTTTGGTTTGTCTTTTCTTCCATTTCATATAATTTTTTGCTTGTTTTTTCTTCTACTTCTTTAAGGGAGTTTCTTGTTTCCTCTTTAATGGTCTCTATCATCTTCATAAGATAATTTTTGAGGTCCGTCTCTTCTTCATCCTCTGTGTTGTTCTTTTCAGTTCTTGCTGGTGTGGAGTCCCTAGGTTCTGGTGGTGTCACATTGGTCTTTCTGTTGTTGAGTGTGTTCCTATTCTGTCATTTTCCCTTCCCTTCTTCCTGTGGTTGCAGGCGGGGTCTCTTCCTCTCTCAGGTGGCAGCTGGAAGGCAGAGGTGGGAAGGAGGACAAGGTAAGGTGCATCCGGACTCAGGGTGCGCCTTCCAGTCTGGGGAGGTCCATCTTGTCCCCAGAGGACTAGATGCCAGGAAATAATCAAACTAGGGCAGAAATCAGTAAAGTAGAAGCTAGGAAAACACTACAAAGTCTCAATGAAACAAAGAGTTGGTTCTTTGAGAAAGTCAACAAGATAGACAAACCTTTATCAAAACTAACCAAAAGGCAGAAAGAGAGAGAGAGCATGCTAATTAACAAAATCAGAATGAAAAGGGGGACATAACAATGGACACTGAGGAAATCCAGAGAATCATCATTTCATACTTTGAAAACCTTTACTCCACAAAATTCGAAAATCTAAAGGAAATGGACAATTTCCTGGATAGATATCAGTTAACAAAATTAAATCAAGAACAGATAAGCAATTTAAACAGACCTGTAACCCCTAAGGAAATAGAAGCAGTCATCAAAATTCTCTCAACCAAAAAAAGCCCAGGGCCAGATGGCTTCATTGCAGAATTCTACCAGAAATTCAAAGAAGAGTTGTTCCATACAACAGCAGCAGAAGGGACATTGTCAAGCTCTTTCTATGAGGCTACAATTACCTTGGTACCCAAGCAACACAAAGACACAACAAAAAAAGAGAATTACAGACCAATATCCCTCATGAACTTTGACGCAAAAATATTCAACGAAATACTGGCAAATCGAATCCACAAACACATCAGAGAAATCATCCACCATGATCAAGTTGGCTTTATCCCAGGAATGCAGGGATGGTTCAACATACAAAAATCCATCAATGTAATCCACCATATAAACAAACTGAAAAAGAAAAAGCACATGATCATCTCGCTAGATGCTGAAAAAGCCTTTGACAAAAATCCAACATCCCTTCATGACAAAGGTCTTGGGGAGATCAGGAATAACAGGATCATACCTAAACATGATAAAAACAATATACACCAAACCAACAGCCAACATCAAACTAAATGGAGAGAAACTCAAGGCGATTCCTCTAAAATTAGGAACAAGACAAGGCTATCCACTCTCTCCATATCTCTTCAAAATTGTACTTGAAATCCTAGCTAGAGCAATAAGTCAACAAAAGGATATCAAGGGGATACAAATTGGAAAGGAAAAAGTAAAAGTTTCACTAATTTGCAGATGATATGATAGTTTACATAACTGACTTGAAAAACTCCAAAAACTCTACTACAGCTGATAAACACCTTCAGCAAAGTGGCAGGATACAATATTAACTCAAAAAAAATCAGTAGCCCTACTATATACAGATGATAATTGCACTAAGAAAGAAGTCAGAGAAACATCAACCTTTACAATAGCCACTAACAATATAAAATATCTTGGGGTAACACTAACAAAAATGAGCAAGACCTGTATAGTAAGAACTTTGAGTCTCTAAAGAAAGAAATTAACAAATATATCAGAAAATGGAAAGATCTCTCATGCTCTTGGATAGGTAGAATCAACATAGTAAAAATGGCAATCTTGCTGAAACCAATCTACAGATTCAATGCAATTCCCATCAAAATTCCAACACAATTCTTCACAGACCTTGAAAGAATAGTAGTCATCTTCATATGGAAAAACAAAAAAACCCAGGATAGCCAAAATAACCCTGTACAATAAAGGAACTTCTGGAGGCATCAGTATCCCTGACTTCAAGCTCTATAATAGAGCCATAATCCAGAAAACAGGTTGGTATTGGCACAAAAGTAGACAGGTTGACCAATGGAATTGAATTGAAAACCCTGATTTTAACCCACATATATATGAACACCTGATTTTTGACAAAGAAGCTGAAGTTATACAATGGAAAAAAGAAAGCGTCTTCAACAAATGGTGTTGGCACAACTGGATTCAGACATGTAGAAGATTGCAGATAGAACCATATCTATCACCATGCACACAACTTAAATCCCAATGGATCAAAGGCCTCAACATAAATTCAGCCAAACTGAACCTCCTAGAAGAGAAGGTAGGTGGTGCGCCCGAACAAATTGGTATAGGAGACTCCTTTCTGAACCTAACACCAGTAGCACAAACATTGAGATCAACAATTAATAAATGGGAACTCCTGAAACTGAGAAGTTTCTGTAAGGCAAAGGACAAAAACAAGTCAACAAGACAAAACGCCAGCCCACAGAATGGGAAAAGATATTCAATAACCCCGCATCTGACAGAGGGCTGATCACCAAAATACATAATGAACTCAAAAAGCTAGCCCCCAAAACACCAAACAATGCAATCAAAAAGTGGAGTGCAGAACTAAATAGAGAATTCTCAACAGAGGAATCTAAAATGGCTGATACACACTTGAGTAAGTGCTCAACATCCTTAGCCATCAGGGAAATGCATCTCAAAACCACTCTGAGATGCCATCTTACTCCTATCAGAATGACTGAAATCAATAACACCAATGGCAGTCTATGCTGGAGAGGATGTGGAGAAAGAAGAACACTCCTCTATTGCTGGTGAGAGTGCAAACTTGTACTACTACTTTGGAAATCAGTATGGTGGTTTCTCAGGAAAATGGGAATGAGCCTACCTCAAGATCCAGCAATTCCACTCTTCGACATATACCCAAAGAATGCAAATTCATACAACAAGGACATCTGTTCAACTACGTTCATAGCAGCATTATTTGTAATAGCCAGCACCTGGAAGCAATCTAGATGCCCCTCACCTGCAGAATGGATAGAGAAAATGTGGTACATTTACACAATGGGGTCCTACTCAGCAGAGTATTACAAAAAAAAAAAAAAATGGAATCTTGAAATTTGCAGGCAAATGGATGGAACTAGAAGAAACCATCCTGACTGAGGTAACCCAGTCACAAAAAGATAAACGTGGTATTACTCATTAGACATAGAGCAAAGGATTACCAGTCTACAATCCACACTGCTGGAGGAGCTAGGAAACAAGTAGGACCCCAAGAGAAGATTGCATAGACCCTAGAAAAAGAAGGGGAGGGGGACAAGAACCCCTAAACAAAGTGGGAGCATGGGGCAGGGGTGGAGAGGAAGGAGGTGGAAAGGGAAGGAGGGAGGGGGATGAGAACACGAGGACTGAGAGAGGGGAGGAATAGAGGAGGCAAGAAAGGAGATGCCTTGATAGAGGGAGACAGTACAGGTTT